TTTTCCATAGTGGCTGTACCAGTTTGCATTCCCACCAACAGTGTATGAGGGTTCCTTTTTCTCCACAACCTCTCCAACATTTGTCGCTCTTGGATTTGGATGTTTTTGCCAATCTAACAGGTGTAAGGTGATATCTTAGTGTAGTTTTGATTTGCGGGAAATGTTCTCCACTTTTAAGGACTCATGTCATAACATGGAGCCACCGGATATTCCAGGGCAAATCTCCTCAACTCAAGTCCCTTAACCTAAGCACATCTACAAAGTCCCATTCACCAAGTTAGGTCGTATATTCGGAGGTCCAGGGGATTGGGATGCAGGCATTTTTAGGAAGCCATTATTCTGAACACCAAAAATTACTAGCATTAATATTTATTAGAATCAAATTGCAGCAATAAATAGCAAAGCTTTATAAATGAGGTTTTACCTTATTTAAGCCTAAGGCAAAAAAAAAAAAAAAAGGAAAGAGAGAACTGGCTGGTGCTCATTGGAGATCACACGCAGGGCAAAGCTTATGGTCCTGACCAGGCCCTCCTCTCAGAGCTAGGCATACATCCCACGGATGGTCTGCCCCAGGCTCTCCCCAACCCAGTGCCTATCCAGGACTAGTCATGAGATTACACACAGGGCAGAAATCGTGTCTATGCACCCACTCTACCCTAACCTCAGGATGCCAGACAGTAGGTTGGTCCTAGGTCAGGTCAGGCTCTCTTATGGGAGAGGAGTTTAGATTTAGCTTTAAAACTGTCTATGTGATGGAGGCCTCCTCTTCTTTCTTCTGACCCATCTTCCACATACTAGCAGCTTCCACATCCCTTATCACTACACAGGAGATCAATCTCCCCACCCCACTCCCTGGTCAGACAGATAGAGGAATGCCACAGGCATGTTGGGAAAAAAATCACCACAATCCTGACACTGACACTTGGCCTGGCCTTACCCCTTGGACGGCTGTCACTTGTCAGGCCCAACTGTCCAGGCTTGTGTGTACTCTCTGTGGAGATAAAGGGTTCAACCTAGGACTGGGCCCTGCACAAAAGACTGGACCCAAACCCACAGAGATCTTTACATTTGAAAGAACATTAAGGAATGGTCATGCCATGCCCCACTGTGGTCTTATCCCAGAGTTTTATTGCTCCCAGTGAGGAGATACAATGTGCCTCCAGGTAAGAAGGAACAGACACATGGCTGTCTTGCTGGATGAAGAAGAGGTCAAGCGTATACAAGAAGAATTGAATGAAGGTACCAATGGTGTTTCTGGATAGCTTTTTTAAGTCCAGGAACTTTTTAAAGTTTATTGATATATAAACTATATAAAGAAATTTGTACGTGTGATGGGTGTACATCTGTGTGAAGTTTTTTTACGTTCACAGCCCCTCTTATGAGCACCCAGAGAAAAAGACAGTCCATGGAGAGCACCTCAAAAAACTGACACTACTTGACAGTCCTGGGGCGGTGGGATGGTTTGGAAAGGCTGGTGACCTCTGTAATCTGGTAGAATTGTGGGGACTAGTGTGTGGGCAGTTTTGTCTGCTAGGGAGGGTCGCTTGCTTGGAGAGGTCAGTGGTTTTGAGAAGTTGGAGAGTTCATATTTTGGGGAAGTTTGGATATGTTTATTTGAGGAAGACAGGAGATTGAGAGTGACTGTGGGTTTGGAGATGTTGATAGACTTGAAGATTTTGGCTTTGTGGAGGACGTGGGATTAGGGGACGAGAGAGTATTTGGAGAATTTTAAAGACATTAGCCATTTTGTGGGCTGAGGAATCTGGTGGATTGAATCAGGGTTTGATAAACTCCAAGTTAATGAGATTGGTGGCTTTGGGGAGTTAAATAGACATGGGGATTCGAGCATCATGGAGAAGCTGGGATTTGAGGAGCTTGGAAAGTTTGGAAATATTAATGCCTTGGGGGAGGATAGAGGTTTGGAGAGTTTGATGTGTTTGAGCAAGGGGGTAAATTCGAGCAGTGTGGTGTCTTCAGGAAGTCTGCAGGTTTGGAGAGGATGAATGGCCAAGGGATATTGGTGGATTTGGGGCAGTTGATGGACATGGGATATTGTTGGGCTTGAGGAGCTTGATGGTCATGGGACAATGGTGAGTTTGGGGAGATTGAGGTTTCTGTGTGTTTGTTTTAGAGGTTTGTATTTTTTGGAAGGTTGCAGATTTGTAGAAGTTGGCAACTTTAGAGATGTAGATAGGTTCATGGATATTGAGGTATTTGGGATGATTAAGTGTTTTGGACATTTTCTTGGGTTTGAAGAGTTTGGGGAACATTGTTAGGCATGGTGAGGATGTGGTTTGGGAGAGGTTATCATATTTGGGGAGGCATGGTGTTTGGGGATGTTTTAGAATTGGAGACATTGCATATTTTATGGAGGTTGATGACTTTGTGTTTAAGGGTTTGGTTTAATTGGTAGATTTGAGGATGTTAGAAATTTGAAGAGAGCAGTTTGGCTTGGGGAGGATGGTAGGTTTGGGAATGGGGCTAGACCCCTGTTGAGTGACATAGATGGAGCGCAGAAGGCTCTGCATTTGTGGTTCCATTTATATTGATTAGTTCCAATAAGGTAGGCAGGTGCTGACTTTATTCAATTATTGCATTTGATGAATGCAAGGCTGGGGATGTTCCATTCACAACTATGTGTCTCAGAAAGCATCTAATCCTCCCACTGTGGAAGTCTATTTGAAGAATGCGATAAATGAAGCTAAGATCATCATTCCTCTTCTCCCAATTCCTGTTCCCAACCCAATTTGGAAAAGATAATAAGAGTAGGGGATCACAGACCAGAAGAGTGACAAGGTAAAGACAGAAGGGGCAAAGCACAGAGTGAGGGAGCAAGGACTGAAGAAATAGAGCAGAGAACAGCATGATGCGGCAGGGAACAAAAAGTAGGAGCAGGGAGCAGCGTTCCAAATCAGAGAAGAAAGACGTGGAACAAGGTGAGGGGGCACAGAAAAGGGAGAAGGAACAAGGAACAGCAAGACAGGACAGGTAAGAGGGACATGCAGGCAGCAAATGTTCCTGAACTGCAGGGACATCTGAGGGAGGCAGTCACAACTACACAATGACACAAATACACTGCAAGTTATCTTGCTTCTGCTCATAGTTGTGTTCCTCTTCCCACCCCAATTCCCACTGAATATATGCAAGTTCAATTTCTAGCATTCAGGAAATCTAGAAGGAAAAAAATCCCGCAATGTGAGGGTCATCACAATGTATCAGGATAGGCATAGACAAGTTCCTAGTGGTTTATGAATTGTCAGTTCCAGAGGCTCAAGACATCCTGGGGGAAATATAGAACTACATATAGTTGTTCAGTGCTAGGAATATAATGTTCTAGTGACCTCAAGAAAGAAAATGTGCATGGAAAGGGACTCTTTCCTGGGCTTGTGAGTGGGGCCCAGTACGGAAGTGTTCATGCAGACAGTGAGATGGCAAGGATCCGGAGATGGATCAACTCACCCCAAAGGGGATGCCCGCTTTGGGAAGTAAGCACAAGTATTCTCCTTAGCAGTCATACACATGAACTCAAACGCCCTTCAGTTGCTTTGATCCTCTGTAATGAGGATTGAAAAGTACTTATATTTATGTAAATCCAGTGTCTTCCTATTTCACCAGGATTCACTGGACTCCGGAGACTCACTCCATTCTTTTGGCCAGAGCTGTTTTTTAATATCTTGTATTTTGGTGGGAACATGAATGTGGGAAGAGTTGGTTTGTTTACCTGGTGATGTTGATTCATGAAAAAGGATATTCTTGCTGACGTGACAAGGACCATGGAATTTAGCAGAGCACGCTGAGGGGAGGGGAGTCACAATTCAGGGAACCCCTGTTGTCAAGGGATGGAAGAGTTTACTCCTCAATCTCCCGAGGAGAGAGTAATCAGAGTCTATTCCTCCTAAAATTCTCCAATGTAAATGAAAATCCTGCGGGGCAATGGCACTGGGGGGGATCCACTCCTTCGGTCCTCAGGGGCTTTGCCCCGCGGGCTCCGGGCGGGCGCCACGTGGCTAGGCAGTGGGAGAGGGTGGGAAGCCAGAAACCAAGAAAGAGCAATGTGAGAGCGACGAAGAGGAAGAGGGAGAAAGCGAGATACTGGAGGACAGAGAACTAAAGAACAATTGACAGACACAAAGATCTAGAGAAAGACACAGAGACGGAGCTGAACGGACAAGGAGGAGGGCATATAGAGACACAGACACAGACACAGGAAGAGAGACAGAAATGCAGACGCAGAGAGACACCCAGAGACAGAGAGAGAAAGAGACTCAGAGTTAGACAGGGAGTCGCAGGCAGAGACATTTAGAGCAAAGGAGAAGGAGAGTTTAGAGTAGGCGTGCGCAAACCCGCGCTCGCCCTCTCTCCAAAATTGTGGCTAAGACCGCCTGACGCCACCCGGGATGAGAAGATCAGCCAATGGAGGTGCGCAGAGGCCAGAGGGGCATTTTCCTCAACCAACGAGGACTCAGAAGATTCTCGAAGCCATGCCCACTTGCCCCTGGTTTTCGCCTGGGCTCCTAATCTGCATAGCTCCGCCCACAGAGATCTCTCTTCGGAAGTGAGGTCAGCTTGGCCTTTTGCCCATCGGGGCAAGCCCTGGTCAGTCTGCACACTGCCTTCGAAAACTCATTCCCCGGCTCCATGAGCATGTTCACACCTCGCGGTCCCCTTTTTCCACAGGCCGCAGAGCCTTTTGCCTGGCTGAATACTCCCTCTTTGGAGAAGCCCGCCTCTCGATTTAGCAGCCAGGTCCCATAGGCAGGCCAGGCTGCGCACGGCACTCCGATTGGAAGCGGCGACTGTCCGTCAAGCATTCCCTCTCTGCCCAGACTCTATTCCACTTCTCCCTCAACCCTGCTGGTGGATAAGGGAGGGTGAAGACGCCTCAGTTCTGGGGAGCACGTCTATTGGTCGGGCACGGGTACCTATCATGACGTAAGGAGTCGGCGTCTCCTGATTGGGCCTAAGGGAGGCAGTGCCGCCCTCCGTACTCCGGATTGGCTGAACCTGAGCCGCGCCCCCCTCACGCCGACAGTCTTCAGTACGAGAAGTGGGCCCGCCAGGCCTCCGTTAGCCGAGGGAGCCAGTGCTGCGGGAAGGAGTGCAGAGGGGTCTCACTGGGTTCCCAACCAGACCTACGTAGATCCGGGAGTGGCGCGCGCCATCTGAACGGTGAGGGAAAACCGGTGGGCGGCGGGAGGGAGGGGTCGGGCGCTGCGGGGAGGGAATCAAGCTCTGCAACCGGAAGTGTCTTCAGAGCGGCGTCGCACCCGGAAGTGTGGCAAGACAGCAGCTGCACCCGGAAGTGTCATGCTACTGCAGCTGCGGGAAGTAATGCTACCCGGCCAGTTGAGATACGGGGTTAAAACAGGTGTTTATGTATATTTATTTGCTGAGGCTCAGCAGAGCCTCCCTTTTCCAAACGTGTTGAAGGTTGCAAGTATTTGGTCATGTGTTTGAATGTCTCGTCCTGTTGAAACCCGAGGGGAAACGAGCCCTAGGAGTGTGCCCAAGGGGGCCAGGCTCAGTAAAGGCTTTAAAAAAGTTTCTTTCGCTGCCCGTCAATCTCAGTTCCTTTCCCCTACAGGGATGTGCAGATGGAGGCCGGTGGAGACGCTGCTGCCCCAGCCCCTGGGGACGCGGAGGACGTGGAGGACACGCAGTTCCCCAGTGAGGAGGCTGGAAACGGTGGAGATGTTCACGAGGGCTCGCCGGATCCCGAAGATGGGGGCCTGGAGGAAACAGGTATGCCTGCCCCCTCACTAGGGTCTTGAAGGGAATCCCTAGAGAGTGTCATTGTTGGAGGATGTCAGTAGGGGACCAATGAGGAGTCTTTGGGGACTCAGGAAGTAGCTTTAGCCATAGCAGCGTCAGTAGGAGGTCATTGTGAACTCATGGTTTAGTTCAAATCATTGAGGAATGAAGAGTAAATCAGTGGGTGTCAATGAATGTTCACTGGGGACTTGTGAGTTTAGATCTTTGAGGAATCAAAAAGGGGTCAGTTGGGGTCAGAGAGGGGCGTTAGGGATTTAGGATGTTTAGGTAAATCAATGGCCAAAAGAAAGTTAATGGGAGCAAAGGGGGATTATTTAGGGTGTTATTTAAATCATTGAGGTGGGAAAGGGGATCATTGGGGGCCAATGGGCACTCAGTGTTTACATCATTGAGGAGTTAATGGTGAGTTGTTGGAGAGAGTCTTTAAGAAACCAGATGTTAGTGGATATTATGGTGATCCTTGGTTGGGAGGCAGTGGATGTCAGTGAGATTATTAGAGAAGTCAAAGGACCAGTAGGAGGGTTTTTGAAGACCTGGGTGGATGTGTGAAGGTATTTGGTGGAGAATCAATGGGAATCATTGGGGAATCAGTGCTCATTGACCACTTTGAAATTAGTGGATGTTAATGGGGTCATTGGGAAGGATTAGTAGACATCACTGAGCATAAATAGTGGTGGGGGGATGGGGGAATCTTTGAGAACTTAGGAATTATTGGCAAGTAATGGCAGGTATTGGGAGGAGGTAATTGGGGACCAGTTAATTGAGGACGTGGGAAGTCAGTGAATGTGAATGAGAGAATGAGGGAATATGAGGTCATTGAGATTCTATGGGAAAACTGTTGACACATAGTTGCCAATGGATAATAATGGTTGTCTTTAGGAGATCAGTGGACATCAACTGGAATAAATGGGAGAGGTGTCAGGGGAATCAGTAGGGGGCAATGAAGTCATGGGTTTCATTGGTGACTGTTATTGATGGTTATGGGGAAGAACAATGTTGGTCATTATTAAAGTCCTGTGTGTTGGTATATAAAGTGGTGGTTATTGTAAGGAGGAGATGGCTATCATTGAGAACAAGAGGGGTCAGGGGAGTCAGTGGAGGTCACTGAAGTCCTGGGTGTTAGTGGAGATTAATAGTGGTCACTAGGGAGAAGGGAGAATACAATAAAGTTGAGGTCGCTGGAGGTCTTGGATATTAGTGAAGGTTAATGGTGGTCATGGTGGGGATGGAGTGGACATGGAGTAGAATAGATTGTGGGTCAGAGCAATCATTAAGTGTTGGAAAACCCAGGTATTAGTGATGTTAATGTGGAGTCATTGGAATATTAGTGAACAATAGTGGGAGTAAAGAGGGAATTGGGGGAGTCCTGAAGATCAGGGTGTTAGTGGATATTCATGGCAGTCACTGGGAGAATTAATGGTCATCACCAAGAATATAAATGGGTGACCAGGAGAGTCAATGGGGTTATTAGGGATCAGTGGACATCAATGAGAATAAATAAGGGATTAGGATAGGGGGAGCCATCAAAGACCCAAATATTGGTAGAGGTAATGATGGTCATTGAGGGGTGAGTAGATATCAGGAGAATAAATAAGAGGTCAGAGGTATTAATGTGGGCTCATTGAAGATGAATATATTAATAGTGGTCATTCAGAGGCAATGGGGTGCTTTGAAGAGTTGGGAATAGCAGTTATTGAAAGAATAATTGGCCTCTAGGGACATAGGGGGTTCAATAATGAGAATGAGAGATTAGATTATTGGGATTTTAGGGGAATCATGTGGACATCACTGAGGGGCAGAGGAGATACGCTGGAGGTCTATTTCGGTATCAGGGGTCATTGGAGATCTGGTAGGAATTTTGTGGGTCCCTGGGCACATGGAGTTAGTGGAAGTCCACAGGCAGATGACCCACCAGGGGTTCCCTTTCAGGACCTGAGACCAAGGAACAGCCACCTGACCTGCTGTCACCACTGCCACAGTTGGAGGCCCCATCATGCACCTGTGGGCTCTGGAGTCCTGCAGCCTCTGAGAATAGTCCCATGGGTGGCCCCGAGAGTGGCTCTGGGGGCCAGGGCGGGGACCCCAGTGACGAGGACTGGCGCAGCAAGCGGAAGCACGTGTTTGTGCTGAGCGAGGCAGGCAAGCCCATCTACTCGAGGTACGGTAGTGTGGAGGCACTGTCGACTACCATGGGTGTGATGACAGCCTTGGTGTCCTTCGTGCAGAGTGCAGGAGATGCCATCCGCGCCATCTATGCTGGTGAGCAAAGGAGCACGAGGCAGGATGGTATGGTGATTGGGAATATGTCTGGCTAGCTGTAGGTCTGTCTGTCTGTCTGTAGCCTGGGGGACTACCCAGCCAGCCATGGGTGAGTCAGTATGTGTGGATGGCTGGCTAGGTGTCTGGGTGTTGGGTGGTTCCATCTGTCTGGCCTGCTGGGTTCTGAATGATTAACTCACGGATTTAAGTGAACGACTGGATACTTACTTGTTGTTCTCAAAGTGTGACTTGAGTGCCTTTCTGGCTCTCTGTCAGTCCTTGCTCCATCTTCCCCCGCTTCATGCTGTGTGTCTAACCTGACTCCATGACCATCCCATCACATCTCTACAAATGTCCAAACTCCCCCAGCTTGTCCTTACCCTAGTCCAACTGTCCATCGAGTGACCCTGTGAGCTCGGGCTAGAGGTTTGTGTGTTGGGGGGAAGGGTGGAAGAGCCCCACCTGACACCCTCTGGTCACTACTGACCCATTTCTACCCCCTGCCCCAACCCTTCCCTCTCCCAGAGGACCACAAGCTGGTGTTCCTACAGCAGGGCCCACTGCTGCTGGTGGCTGTGTCAAGGACTCCTCAGTCAGCATCCCAGCTGCGCGGGGAGCTGCTCGCTGTGCACGCACAGATCGTGAGCACGTTGACGCGCGCAAGCGTGGCCCGCATCTTCGCACGCAAGCAGAACTACGACCTCCGCCGCCTGCTGGCCGGCTCGGAGCGCACACTGGACCGGCTTTTGGACAGTATGGAGCGGGACCCAGGTGCCCTGCTGCTGGGCGCTGTGCGCTGTGTGCCCCTCGCTCGCCCGCTGCGGGAAGCACTGGGTGCACTCCTACGACGATGCACAGCACCTGGTCTGGCACTGTCAGTGCTGGCGGTTGGCGGTCGACTGGTGACAGCAGCCCAGGAGCGCACTGTGCTGGCCGAGTGCAGGCTGGACCCAGCTGACCTGCAGTTGCTGCTCGACTGGGTGGGTGCACCGGCCTTCGCAGCAGGAGAAGCGTGGGCACCTGTGTGCCTGCCCCGCTTCAACCCCGATGGTTTCTTCTATGCCTACGTGGCCCGCCTGGATGCCATGCCTGTGTGCCTGCTGCTGCTTGGCACCGACCCTGAGGCGTTCCATGACATGGCCACCTGCCGGCGCTTGGTTGAAGACGGCATGCACACCCTTGGTGCCATGCGTGCCCTCCGGGAGGCTGCCAGCTTCTCTAATGCCTCATCAGCCAGTGCCCCTGCCTACAGTGTGCAGGCAGTGGGGGCACCTGGACTCCGGCACTTCCTCTATAAGCCGCTGGACATCCCTGACCATCACCGCCAGCTGCCCCAGTTTACCAGGTGGGCAATAGTTACCCTATGAGCAACCGGCCAGGCAGGAAGGCTTATCTAAGTGGAAAGTTTAGCACTGCATAGACCTCACCTTGGAGAGAGAGCCAACTGTGCTCTAGAAAGATGGAATGGAATGGGTGTCTGTCTGATGTGGGAGGCTTGACCACCAATATCAAGGAATCCTTTATTCTAATGGAGAAGAGGGCCCCAGTATTCTAGGAATTCCCTAGTTTGATGGGGAAGCTGGGCCTCAAACCACCGAGACTCCTCCAGTCTAATGGGGGAGGCTCAGCTCCCTGACTTAATTGAACTCCCTTGACTGAGGGGAGATGGGCCTGCCGAGAAAGCCCTAGACTGACCTTGTCCCCTACCTCCCTCCATCACTGCAGCCCTGAGCTAGAGGCCCCGTACAGCAGAGAGGAGGAGCGGCAGCGCCTGTCAGACCTATACCACCGCCTACACGCGCGCCTCCATAGCACCTCCCGGCCCCTGCGACTCATTTATCACGTGGCTGAGAAGGAGACGCTGCTGGCCTGGGTGAGTTGGGGAGGGCTCTGCAGGAGTTAATTCCCCACTTCAAGCCTCTTCTCCCTCCACTGTATCCCCTCTGGCTGTAACAGCCTCCATCAAGCACACCACGCCTTTGCTTCCAATGCTTGTCCCTGCCATTACACATGTGTCTTTGAAACCCATGAGGATTGATCACAGTGTCTACACCTCTCCATTAGCCCCATCTTTCTGTTTGTTCTTCCCCCATTAGCAAATAATACAGTGTCTTCAACTTTCCACAGGCTCCATTAACAACCATCACTGTGCCTGCCGAATTCCCATAAGCCCCGCCCATGTGTCTGCAGGCACCAGTTCAGTTTGGACTCTTAAGTCCCTGGCACTCCTTGAACACTACAGGCTTGGTCCCATGCTGTGCCTTCCACCTGGGGTATCCTTCCCTAGGGTCTCTTCCGGGCTCCTGTCATCACTTCCCATCAGTCTATTAAAGGTCAGCTATTCAGGGAGTTTGGTCAAGATGACCCCGTTGGAAACAGCACCTTCTCCCAGGCTCTGCCATTTAGCACACATTTATTAAATCATTCATTGCACGCCTCTGTGTATCAGGCATCGTTCTAGGCTGAGGATTTTATTTAAAATTTTTTTAACTTTACTTTTCAAGCAATGTTAGACCTACAAAGAAGTTGCAAAATAGTGCAAAGGATTACTATAAATAGGTTCTTCACCTAGTTTCTCTATATGTTAACATAACCACAGGAACTTACCAAAATCGGGAAATTAATATCAGTACAGTAACATCTAATCTACAGACTTCATTCAGATTTCACCAATTGTCCCACCAATGTCCTTTTACTGGTCCAGGATCACATGTTGGATTTATTTATTGTGTCTCCTTAGTCTCATTTATTCTGGAACAGTTGGTCTTTTTTGTCTTTTGTGACCTTGGCACTTTTAAAGAGTACCAGCCAGTTAGTTTGTAGAATGTTCCTCAACTTGGGTTTTTCTAGTATTTTATCATGACTAAATTGAGGTCATGCATTTTTGGCAAGAATATCACAGAAGTGATATGCCCTTCTCTGTATCATATCAGGAGGCCCACGATGTCAGTTTGCCCCACTGTTGACGCTGTTATCTGTGATCACTTAGTTAAGATGGTGTCTGCCCATTTTCTCCACCACAGAGTTAGTAATTTTCCCCTTCGTAACTAGTGAATGTCTTGTGGTGATTACATCAGTGTTCTGTCTTTCATTCACTAATTTTAATAAGCATTAATGATTTTTGCCTTCAGCCATTATTACTCTGGTGTTTACCAGACGGTGATTTTTCCAACTCCATCGTTCCTACCACATTTATTGGTTGCATTTCTTCTAAATGGAAGAACTTCTCTTCCTATTTGTTTGTAGAGTTTTAAATTTTATATCAGTATGGTCTCATGGATTTTTCTTTTATTCAGTGGGGTAAAAGCCTTTTCTGTCATTTACTTTTATGCTCAGATTGCCTCTGATTTAGCCTGTGGGAGCTGTGATTTCGTCAGGCTGGTCCCTGTGTCTTTTTGACACATCCTCATCACTGCTCGAACACTCCTTACTTTCTGGCACAAGACATTCCAAGCTCATCTTGTACTTTCTCTGTACTAGTCCTGAAATCAGCCATCTGTCCAAGGAGCCCTTGTACCTTTTAGTGGAGAATGGTGTTTCACAATCAAGATATGGTAGACCCAGGAGTTTAAATTGGGTGGGCAGGGGATGCCTCACTGAAGAGATGGCATCTAAGTAGGAGGGGAGGCAGTGGACCATGTGGGTATCTGGAGGAAGTGTACACCTGGCAGAGGGAAAGGACTGAGCAAACGCTGTGAAGTGGGATTGAGCCTGGTTGTATTTGAGGAGCAGCAAGGAGAAGCTAGAATAGCTGGAACAGAGGGAGCGAGGTGAAGAGCAGTGAGAGGTGGTGCAGAAAGGTGTGACCTGGTTAAGTCTCCCAAATTGGTGTGAGGATTAAAGTGAAATAATCCTCATATTTTGCCCAGGCTACAGCGGATGAAAACATAGGTATGTGGAGCTTAGAAGAGGACCTTGTATGCCACAATTGCTCAATAAATGTTAAGCACTCTTGTTGTTATGCCCAGTCTATAGATGAGCAAACTAAGGTCCAGAGAGAATACACACACACACATACAGCCAGCGTCACCCAATTGAAGCCACCAGATCTAGCTGATCCTTTGGCCCATCTGCAAACCCCAGGCCCACCCATGACACAATAATGTCAACTTACTTGCTTTAGCACAGTGGCCAGGCGGCACCAGGTGGAGCTGGTACCAGTGCATTGTCCAGACAGGAGATAGGCATGGGGCTAGGGTGAGGGGACACAATTGGGCATGGCCAGCTCCGGCCCAGCTGACTCTGTCTCCTCTCAAACCCACAGGTGACTTCCAAATTTGAGCTCTATACCTGCCTCAGCCCCCTGGTGACCAAGGCAGGTGCCATCTTGGTAGTGACCAAACTCCTGCGCTGGGTGAAGAAGGAAGAGGATCGGCTCTTTATTCGTTACCCACCCAAGTACTCCACACCCCCAGCAGCCCCAGCTGCCTCTGCGGACCAGGCTTCCCATAATGGCTTGTTCACTGGCCCTTGAGAGGTGGAGATCCCAGATTGGGAAGTGCTGGCAAGGACCACCTTTGGCTTTTACCTTCTGTCTCCACCCTGGAAATGGGGCATGGGTGGGGCGGCAGGGGCGTTAGTGGTGGTGTCTGTGGCTGGTCCCTGTCTCCCTGGACAAAGGGGCAAGATCTGAGGGTCTGCCCACAAATGAGAGATGGGTGGCAGCACGACTGCACACAGTGAGCAGGCTGCTTCCCCAGCCCCCTCATGCACCTCCACCTCTGGGGAAATCCTTAGGAAAACCTCTTCCCCTCTCTCTGCCTCACCTTCTCCACTTTGATGATGTTCAGGCATCTGTCAGGGGCTGCCTCCTCCTATCCTGGGCACCACCCCTTCTGTACTGCATGGAGTCTGCCTCTGCGAGGGGATCTCAGCCCTGAGTGTCCAGAGCTGCCCAAGGTCTCTTTGGGTGGCCCACAGGGATTCTGGAACTGGGAGTACAGGGCCAGCCTGTGCTTGGAACCAGCCTGAGGATATTTTAAAGAAAAACTTTACATGAAAGGCTGGAAACCCGTCCCCACAGGGACATTCCTTTGCCCTTCATGCACTTCATCTGTACCCTGTCCAAAATGACCATCAACGCTGGCTGCTGCTAATATGAACGAAAATGTACCCTTCAGGGTCTCCCTGTCTATGTAAACCAGGACAAAGTCCCTGACTTCCCCCAGTGGCTTAAATCCAGAATTTCTACACAGGATGTGCACTTGGCTTCTAAGGCTCATTCTACTCATCCGTGAAATGGAGATAACTAACCTCGCATAGGCTGTTCAGTGTGTGAACAGAAAGGAACTCAAACTCTTGTGCACCACTACAGAGCACATGCACGTTTGTCCCAGCCTTGCACAACTTGCACAACACAGGCAACCTGGAGAGGGAGAGACCTCCCTACAGTTTTGTATGTGTGTGCACAACACTCTCCAACCGACTAAGACCCTAATTCTGCCCTCCTTTTCACTCGTGGTGTACGCATGCGCGCTAACTGTTGCTCAGGGGCTTGGCGCGCTCTGTTTGCCTGGACCATGGCTCCTCACCCTGGTCTACTGATGGGTAAACGCGCACTGCACGCATGCGCGTTGCAGGGCCTTTCGCCCTCGCGTGGTGTTTTTTTTTTTTGTTTTTTTTTTTAACCAATCATGTTACAAGGCGCACCCGTGCAAGCCTCGCGTTGGAAAATGGCGGGCAAGCTGGAGCCTTTGAAAGTGGAGCCACTGGAAGTCGCGGAGGAGTCTGAGGAGGCTGAAGGTAGCGAGTGCAGGCGGGCCTCTCCCCTGGGGCAGAAGGGAGGGAGCCTTCGTCCCATTACAGTAATGAAATATTTATAGCAGTACTAAAAAAAAAGGTAAAATTGTAAGCCTTTTATAAAAAAAGATACTGTTCAACAAAGTGGAGAAAAATAACATGAATATTCTCATCTAGATTAACTCTTGTCAGCTTTATTGGATATATGGGGTAAGTATTTTAAAGTAAACAATAGACTCAGTACTTCAATTTGCATCTCAACGGAGAAAAGAGGTGGATGTGCTCGTAAAAATCACCGTGCTGCTGCCACATCTAAGAAAGTGAACAGTGATTGCCCAATATCATCATTTCACACCTGGCCCATACCACACTGTGCATGGACTCTTCGGTTTTACTGAGAACGGCCGCTTCCACAGACAGGTTCTTTTCTCCAGGGCATTTTGTGGATAATAGTCCCCCAACCCCTAGTGAGAGGGGAAAAAATAAAATCATCCTGGAGACAATTGGAAACTGCAGTCTAGTCAAAAGAAGAAAACCTTCCAAGACAATGAGCCACTACTATGCCACTAGCATTTTTTAATTAGAAATTTTCAAAATGTACCAAAGTACAGAAAACAGAATGATGAACGCCCATCTCCCCATCACTGTTTCAACAGTTGTTGACTTTCTGCCCTCCTTTCATCAATCTCTAACCCCTCTTCCTACAGACTCTTTCAACTGCTATATTAATAAACGCGTTGGATGGCATTTTCCCAGACCTATCTATGCAGACATCAACAATAATAATGACTTGCTTGTTTATTGTCTGTCCTAGGATGTGAGCTCCATGAGAACCATTTACTGCTGTTTCCCCAACTCCTAAAACAATGCCTGCTTGGCACATAGTGGGTGCTCCATGATTTTTTTTTTTATTGTGTGAATAATGAAATAACTTAAAACCAAGAGCTCTCTTAGATTAGGACCACACATTGAATGCCAACTTTCAACAAAGGACAGACAAAAATAAGATAGATGCAAATAGATCTCATTTATTAAGCACTTACTATAGCTGACACTGTGCTAAAAAACTATGTTAATATCAATCTTTCAAATTCATCAAAAGTGAAGTTATTAATTTCACCAGCAATGGAGAAAATATAAAAGCATGTCAAGTTACCATTTCCGGCCCATCAAAATTGGCTTTATAAAGGGAGAAATAATATCTAATATTGATTACTCTGTGGGCAAAAAGGCCGTCTCTTGCCTCACTGGGAGAACTGACCAGTAAAGGCTTTGCTGGAGGCAGAATATGTTTAGCATCTCAAATGCTACTCCATGTCTTCAGTCACTGTGCTTGGTAATAGGAGGACTACACAGACCTGTGGACCAGGAAGGGTCATTGGAGTGTTGTTGATGGAAGGAAAACACGAGGAGCAATCACAGAAATAGCTGCATTGAGGTATAGCCATGCCTATTGTGGAATGCCCACGTGGTGGGCTTTTTTTTTAAGTGGCAGGAAAAAATAGTTAAATTCTAACTTAATTTAAAATGATGAAAAATTAATTTTTAAAAGGATAAGATCATGATTTATTGACATAGAATGAGCTCCAAAAGAGATCCTATTTTTATGAGAGAAAAGCAAGTTGGGATTAAAAAAAAAAAAAGAGGGGGCACTGTCAACTCTAGCCCTGTGTATGTAGCACAGAAAAATGGAGGCTAAAGACCTACCAGATGATCCAAACAAGGGACTTGGATTTGGCGGGCTGCACACAGGTTGAGGCGTTTTTGTGACTTTTGTTTTTTGGGAAAATGTAAGTAGTTCTATATAATTTTAAAATGGAAAAATTTGAATGGCATTTGAGGATGATATATTAATAAATATTAACATCCCGGTTTTGATGATTATATTGTGGTTACCTGGTAGAGTCCCTTTGTATATTGGAAATATACAGTGGACTGCTAAGGAATAATGATGCGTGCAATTTATGGGACAGAAACGCTCCCAAATGGGAAATCTGATACAAGAGCAAATAGGAGCATTGTGGTCTATTTCTACAACCTTTGTGTACGTCTGAAATTATTTCAAAATAAAATGTTCAAAAAGGGGGCTTATGCTCTACAGGCTGTTTTGTTTTGTAATGTGGATTTTTGGAGAATTTTATCAGATGTTAGATTGATTATTGAAAAGATTTACCGATCACCCATGATCTTACCCCTTGACTAGGACTAGGAATGCAGTGGGGAGGAAAAGCACAAATAGATCTTTAGCAGAAATGGTTGCAAAAGCTGGCTGAAATGACATATGGGGACAATCAAGGGAGACCACGGATGTTCTGCGTAATGGATGATAGTAATGATCTAAGATTAGTTATGATTGTTAATCTTACATTACCGTGTATCCATTCAGTGGCCCACTATGCAGCCACTAAAAAGAATAAAAATATCACCAGTATACATTGTCGGATTATACATATAATTTTAAAGGTAACACAGGCTCATGTTAAAAATAGAATTATATATGGTGAAAAGTGATTGAATCGGGATGCAAATAAGGTCTATTCATTACCGTCAATTGATGTATGTCTCATGTCTCTTTTATTCTATAGTTTCCCCTCTCCCTCTTTTTCTTCTTTGCAACTTATTTGTTGAAGACACAAGATTGTCCTGTGGAGTTTCCCAGAGTCTGGATGATGCTGATCGCATTCCCATGATGTCATTTAACATATTTCTCTGCCCCTTATATTTCCCCTGAATCGGTATTTAGACATAGAAACCTAATAAGATTCTTTTTGTTGTTGGCAAGGGTCCTTCATAGGTGATATTATGTTCTTCCATCAGGGGCTATGGTATCTGGTTCTCTGTTTTTGATATTAGCAGTCGTTAATAACTGTTTCCTGGATCCATGAGTTCTTTAAGAATTTGCAAATCATGGTCTATAATGATTTTAAAGAAATTCACATGAAATCTTTCGGCCCTGTTGCATTGGTTAGAACTTGATGCTGATTTTGAATAGCAGCAGCAGCAGCAAAAGTGCACCCCCTTCTGTCATCCCTGAGTTTCATTAAGGGGATGTCTGTGGTGTCCTTTGACCTCTCGGGGAGAAGCTGACCCTGAGCTGATTTATCCAGCACACACCACAAACTGCAGGCACAGGGACAGGGTCCTGCAGGGTCCCCACTCTGGCTGGAAACCTGCCCCTCAGCCTCTCCTCCGTTCCAGCCCAGAGGGGTCTGCAGAACCCACTGGGACTTTCTTTCTCCTTTTCCAGATAGGCTTGGACCTTTCCCCAGTCCCTGTGACTCTCCCGGGATCCTGTAATTCTTGTTTTCATCTCCACAGGGCAGACCAGGTCTTTGAAGAAGACTGAAGACTTGCTGGCAATGGTGAAAAAGCTGCAGAAAGGTCACGTGTCTCCTTGTGTCTGAGGCTTGGTCTGGGGTTTGGAGTCAGGCATGTGGTGCAAACTCAGCCCCTCAACTCACACCCTTGGGAAGTGATCCCACCACACTTTCTCCCTCTTAGACAATTTAATTCTTTGAACCAAAAATGCAGCTTCAAAATTCAAGTATAAGAGGAAGGAAAACTCTACCCTCTTACACACACACACACACACACACACACACACACTAGCCATCCATTTCCCTGACCAACAGGCTAGCAGCAACTATTTTTAAATTCTTAGGTATTTTTCCAGAGATTTATTTTTAAATACACTCGTGGGTGTATATTCTTTGTCTGCCCTTTGTATATGCAAATGGAAAATGGCAATGCAAATGGCTTTGCACCTTGCTTGGCTTGTTGAGAGGGCCTGTGAGCCAGCCTACGTCAGGGCTACAGCACACTGCTGGTTGGGTTTGAGGTCAGACCCCACCCCCAGCCCCTTCCCAGGTTAAATTTTACCATCCATTTATCTGTTCCACATAAAAGGAAACACCTGCTTCCCCCTACCCTGTGGCCACCTGCAGAAGTGCGTGGGGGCTGCTGCCTGGGCTAAAATTAGGCAGAGAAATTGCCAGACTTGAAATGCAGAGTGAACTCTGACCATCTCCAGTAAAGCAAAGACCCCCCGGGATCTGTTGCAGCACCCACTCTCCCAGATGTCACAGGAACTCGAGTTGGTGGCCTCGGAAAACCAAGGGCTTGAACGTATCAGCTCAAGAGTGTCTGGGGTTGGTAGTGAGACCCAGCAAGTGTAGGGAAGCTTCTTGCCCCAACTCCATGCTGCTGACCTTGAGGCCAGCGAGGGCTGAGGAGGAGAGCTTCTTCAGACGGAGCCCTGAACTTGAGGCTGTGAGATGTTAGAGAAGCCTTCTAAAGAGACAGCAATCTCCCTGTCACTGGAGAACTTGAAAGCTTGTCACCCACAAAATGGAAGCAGAATTTGCCCCATCTCTCAAATGTGGCCAATACCAGATTCCAGCTGGGCAGAAGTGACAACCCGCCCTGCCAGGCTTCTAACAAGGTGGGGCAGGCGGGAGGTCTTCATTGGCTCCCCTACACTCAGATTTATATCTGGCAGCTTCCATCATGTCCCAGGAGGCCCTGTGTGACCTGCCACCACCACATCCCCCCCTTGCCTCCTGCTTCTCTCCGCTTGCTCACAAACTCACAGCCACCACACCGGCCCCTCAGCCATTACTTTGGGCGTGTGCCTTGCTCACTCCCACTGCAGGAGCTTTGACTTGTTGTCCCTCCAGCTGGCATGGTTCCCCTCCACACTCCCCACCCCCACAGAACTGCAGGGCTGCCTTCCCCCACTTCCTCCGGCCCTTTCCACGTCTCAAGAAGCACTTTTGACCCTTGCACTCTTCAACCCCTTCACAGTCATTACTGCTACCTGCATGCATATCGTACATCTTTGTTCAATGTCCAACTCTCCCACTTGGAATGCAAGCCCGGAAAGGGCCCAGCACACAGCAGGCACTCAATAAATGCATATTGATTGGTAGCAGCAGAGGCACAGTGCCAACACCCACACCTTCCATCTGCCTTGGACAACCAGGCATCTGTCTTCTCTGGCTCAATCTTTCTTTCCTTCTGCAGAGGGAAGTCTGGAGCCACAGATCGAAGACCTGATTAACCGGATTAACGAGCTTCAGCAAGGTAAACTCCGGGACCTTGGCTGGCCAGCTGGCCAGGAAGGACCTGGACTCTGAATGCCTCGGCTTCCTCATCTATAAAACCCAGGCCCCTCCAGGTTGTTTGAAGATGGGTGTGCAATGTCATGGTCTGCGAGAGAATAGCAAGCCTAGAGGCTGTGCTCATACACTGTCTTCTTCCCTTCTTTGGCCCAGCAAAGAAGAAGTCCAGTGAGGAACTGGGGGAAGCCCAAGCTCTCTGGGAGGCCCTGCACAGGGAATTGGACTCCTGTAAGTGAGACCAAAAGAGGGACCCAGAGATCCCATGACCATTGCTGATATTCCTGTGCATGCTTCGGGGTCTTTGCACGGGCTGTTCCCTCCACCTACAGTGCTCTTACCCTGCAGAAGCCAGATTGCCTCTTGCTATCTCAAGTCATCTTTCAGCTGTCAGCTCAAGCTTCCGCCTAACAGGTCTAACTTGCTGGTCCCACCTCAAAATGGATATGACCTTCTCTCTGTCACTCTCCCTCCAGGGCTTGATTTGTTTCTTTACAGCCTTTATTTCCACTTGACATGGTGTATTTATTTATTTCTAGTCATTTCTCCCACCAGTATAAAGCTTGTGCATTCTGCAGAGTCTTCACTCCTTTAGCATTTGCAGGGAATGTGGGCACCGAGGGGGAGAAGCTGGATCAGGATGGTCCCCAGTAGGAGATGGGTGTAGGGTGGCAAGAAGATACCTCCCCTCTGCTGGGGCTGTACCATACCTCCTGTGTGACAGTGGGCATGCCCTTGGCATGAGGTTACATTGGGGGCCTGGAGGCTCAAAGTGTCACTCTGTTTTCCAGTGAATGGAGAGAAAGTGCACCTGGAGGAGGTCTTGAGCAAAAAGCAAGGTATTTACCAGCTGTTCTGTCTTCATTATTCTACCCCATCCCTGCACAAAAGCCCACAGTCCCCAGAACAGCCAGAGGAATCCCGTGGAAACCTGAGTCCGGGTGCTTCCCCCTCAGCTCGGATCTCTCCCCTGGCTGCCACCTCACTTGGAGTTAACACTAAAGTCCTTTCAGGGCCCTCCAATGCCCGATGTGATGTGGGGCCCATTACCTCCACCCAACCCTGACTCCCCAAGAACTCTCACAGGGCACCCTTGGTTCCTCTCCCCACAGAGGCACTGAGGATCCTCCAGCTGCACTGCCAAAGCAAGGAAAGTGAAGCTCAGAGGTAGGACGTCCTGCCCAGCTCGTCCCCACTTTATTTCCCAGCCTGAAGGAGGAGGGAGCAAGAGCTAGGGAAAATAAATCTTGGACACACACTCCCCATTTTCCCTTTCTATAAAATGGAGTAACTACACAAGAGAATTCTCTGCTCATCTCTCATATTAGGTGGTGGTGTTAAGATTAACTGACTCGTTTAATAATTCATTGCCAGTTTCTTTATCAAATTTCATCCACTGGTATTATTCTAAGTCTTCCCCTATTGATTATCCAGCTCTTTTGCCATCCATTCATGTGTTTATCTGTCCACTCATTTAGTCATCCATTTACCCACCCATCCATTTATCCACCTATCCACCCACTCACCCACCTGTCCATTCATACATACATCTATTCTACTCTCCAGCCCTTCAGCCAGCCAGCCAGCCAGACATTCTCTCTCCAGCCTTCCATCTAATCATCGTCCGTGTAATCATTCATTCATCCTCTCTCGGTCTTTCCACTCATCTGTCCATCTGTCTGTTAATTTCTTCACCCAGCCAGCCATCCAGATGTCTTTCCTTCCTTCCAGCAGTGCTTCCTCTATTTCTCTATCCAGCCATCTCTCCACTCATCATTTCTCTGGCTAGCAATCGTCTCTCCAGCCAGCCGCTCACCCATCCAATTAACTGTCCATCCAACCATCTATCCATCCATCTCTCCATCCTTTGAACCTTTACTTAACACATTCCTGTGGCCAGAAGTCTCATACTTGAGTACACCATGATTTTAATTGTGTGGGAAAATCTGATGATGGATAGTTTAAGTGTGTGTATGTTTAACCACACCACACACACATGTCTGATAAGCGTTTTATGTTCATTTCTCAACCTAATCCTGACAATGACAATTATAGGAGTTAAGGGCTAATGTCACCCTCCCATCACCACCACCATTTTACATATGAGGAAACTGAGACCCAGAGGATTTGAGCAACTTGTCCAGGGTCACAGTGGAATAGCAGATCCAGGCTTTAAGCCAGGACTTTAGAAATCTGTGAAACTAAACCACTGCCCCCCTCACAAAGTTTTCTTGGGAAGGCATGGTATGATGGGGAACGGGATGGACAGGGTGATGGTCTCAATAGAGGCCCATCAGGTTTCACATTCAATCTACAGAGGAAAGGAGAATGACGAAGGCTATGAATGGACTCCTCTCCTGCAGGAGGGAGCGGGGATCATTCAGAGAACATGGCTGAGGGTCATCTTTCCCTTCCCAGGAAGCACACGTTGCAGGATTGCACGGATCAAATTTCTATCCATAGCTCTCATATGGCAGAAAGTCAGAAACAGAGGAAGCCGGGGTAACTGCTAGGGTAACCCCGGGTCTAGGGCCTCGTGTGGCCCTGGGTGGGGAGTGGGAATGGGGCTTGCATCAGGGAGCGTTTGTTGGCAGAGGAGCTACTAGAACCAAGGCTTGGAGGATAAAGCCCATAAAGAGGCACCTAGCAGAGGGAGCCCCAGCAAAGACCTGAAGGCCTGTGCATGAGGAACCCCAGCCCGGGCCAGGCTGGGTGTCGGTCGGAGCACGTGTTCTCTCTTTCCGCCCCGAGGTTGCATGTGGAAGAACAGCTGGAAGATCTGATGGGTCAGCACAAGGACCTCTGGGAGTTCCACGTGAGTCATCCTCATCACCTCCAACCAAAGCCCCTCCTCTCCCGGCCTCAGTGTCTCCGCTGACGGGCCGAGGGTCCACCTACTGCTCAGGCCCAACTCCGTGGGATAGTCCCCTTGACTCCTTTCTTCCTCTCAGCTACCCACTGAATCCTTCAGCTTTTACCTTAAATGTGGCTACCTCTCACCATCACCCCCCTAGATCCTGCATCTATTGTCCAGACTCTTGCAGTAGCCATTGCTGATCCTGCTTTCCTCCTGCTCACGCTGAGAGTGCTCACCTTGCAGTGGCAAGCGGGAACCCTGAAAAAGCAGTGGTCAGGGCATTCCTTCATTCAACTAATGTCACTGGCTGCATCTGGCAGCATTTCAGGCAGGAGGAGGTAGTGGGAACCAAAGGGGCAAATCCATGCCATCTCCAGGCTGGCCGGGCCAGGGGCGGCGGGGGGGCAGGGGGGGGCGGGGGTGGTGAGGCATAGCCAGATTCTAGACAATAAGTAGATAGATCATGTAATGTCAATGGGGAAGGACTCTCTGAACAGGTGACATCTGAAGGCAGACACGAAGAAAGTGAGGGAGGAAGCCATGCAGGGATCTGGGTGTAAATGTTCCTGGCAGAAGGAAAGGCCAGTGCAAAGGCCCTGAGGCAGAACTGAGCCTGAAGCATTTGAGGAAGAGTAAAAGTGGGGGAAAGGATGAGGAAAGTGGGAAGAGATGAGGTCTGAGAGTTACAAGGGGACATGGGGAGCGATTGGCGAGAAATGCATCTCCATCAGCATCCAGCCACAGCAGACACTGCACATTGAGTTAATAAATAGTTGAATGAATGAATGAATGAGTGAATGACCTAATTCAGATAAGGACTTTCTGAGAGGCGCGCAGGAGGAGGGGGCCAGGAGGACAGACTGACGGACAGGGCTCCTCTCTTTCCTCGCAGATGCTGGAGCAGCGCCTGACCTGGGAGATCCGTGCCTTGCAGAGCAGCAAGGAGCAGCTGCTCACTGAAGGTGGGACTCCAGCGTTGGGCCGGGGGCGAGGGGGCGGGGCCTGGCCTGCCGGAGTTCCTGGCCCCGCCCATGACGCCCGGCCTCCCGCAGAGAGACTGGCGCGGGCCAAGCTGGAGCAGGTGGCACAGCTGCTGCGCTCGCCTCCTGGGGTCCAGGGCACCCCGGCAATGCACGACGGGTGAGAGGGGAAGGGAGGCCTGGGGAGAGGGAAGGAGCTGGGAGGAGCGAGTGGGCCGACGTGCCCCCAGCACCGCCCCCAGAGCCCCCCCCCCAGGACTGCTGGCTCGGGGGCCAGTGGGCTCTCTCCTGCCCCGGCTTCCCTGGCGTCCTCCGGCCTCCGTCTGTGTGTCAGTGGCTTTCTCCCGGTCCCCGCCACACTTGCTCTCTGCTTCCTCCTCTCTCCTGTGCCCCTTCCTCGCAGGCTGCAGGCGGAGCTGGAGAAAGTCGGGGGGCACGTCCCCGCCCAAACCAACGGCACCGCAGAGGGCGGGGCCGGCCACGGAGAGGTGGAGCCCTGGGGTGGAGGCGAGGCGCTGGGGTGTCCCTGGAGGCCCTCTGAGAGGGATGTGTGGGGAGCTTGGCGCCCGGGGGGCAGTGGGAAGGGGACAGGGGCCGGGCAGCCACCAGGGCGCTCCGGATCCCCGCCCCGCAGCCTGACTCCTGACTTCCGCAGGCTGGCCCCCAGCACCCCCGCGCCCGCCACGAGGACGACCTGGAGAGGCCGGGGAGCTGGCCCTGACGCCCCCTCTAGGCCAGAAGGACCTCCCCTCCTCCCGCGCGTCCCCACCTTCCTTCAAGGCCTGCCAAGAAATAAAGGCGATGATCGCGGACCGTCCTCCACCTCCGGGGCTGAGTCTGTGCTCCAGGAGTGGTTGGGGGTGGGGGGCCGTCCCTAGCTCCTTGGGGAGGACAGGGGTTTGGGGGGAGAAGGAGGGGACTCGGGAGGTGGGAGGGGTCCCGGGCACCCTCAGTCTCCTGGCCAGCTCCCGCAGAAGCTCAATAGATGTTCCTGAGCCGCTCAGTGAATGAGCAGGGTTTGAGGAGGTCACTATGTCTCTACGGCCTCATCTCAGGTTCCGGTACCGTCTGTTTTACCCGCAACAGCCGGGGAGAACATGTTAAAAACTTACGCGAGGTCCTGACGGTCTCCTGGGGTTCAGAGTCAAATCCCAGCCTCCCAGAGTCCCTGCATTCCCCCAGACTCCTGCTGACGCCCTGGACCCCTGGGCCCTGCCCGCCTGCCTGGGCTCCCCTCGCACGTTCGGTTCTGGTCGCACAGCTGCGTTCCCATCCTTTTCTAAGCACCGTGGCATCCCAGGGCCTTTGCCCTACTGTGTTCTTAGGTGGGGTGCCCTTCTTCCCGTCTCCTCAGACCGCAAGTCTGTGAAGAGTGGCAGCTGCTCCAGGGGCTGGCCGGCGGAGGGGGGAGGGGGTACGGGGGGGTGCGGGGGGGCGGGGTCCAGTTCCAGGTGCCTCAGCTTACCAAGCATGTATGGATGAAACAAGGCCCCGGGTTGTAACTAGCGTGGTCAGGGAAGGTCTCACTGAGGAAGTGAGTGGTGCCTGAGCAGGGAGGTGAGGGGGCAGGTGAGGCAGCGAGCACTATGGGTGTCTGGGGAAGGTGCACCTGGCAGAGGGAGTGGGCGCTCACAGGCTGTGAGGTGGGACTGAGCTTCCTTGTGTTGGAGGAGCTTCTGGAGGGGGCCAGTGTGGTGGAGCAGAGTGAGGTGAAGAGGGCAGGGAGATAAGAGCGGAGAATTGCTGGGGACCCAGTCCACTTGGGCCCTGTCTGTCTAGTCTGTGCAGTATTCCAGGAACAGGACCTGGCACGCAGCAAACCCTCAGTAAATGTCCGTTATCACTTATCATGATGAGGATTCATTTTTATTCCCAGTCCATCGGTGAGGGAAACTGAGGTGTGTGAGGCACTTAACAGGGGCTTGTAATCTAAGTGTTTAATAAATGGTTCATTTAATTTATTATTATTGTTGTTATTCCCAGACTACAGATGAGGAAGACCAAGTTGTGTGTATGTCTTGGAACAGACATATGCATGCAGTAAATGCTCAGTGAATGGTACCTATCATTCACTCTTCTCAATACTAGTCTTTTTATTCCCAATCTAGAGATAAGGAAAGTTGAGGCAGTGAATGTGTACAGTAAGCCCACAATAAATGTTGAGTCTCAGGCCATTCTTGCTATTATCATTCCAAGTCCACAGATGAGGCCTAGGGAGCTTTAGTGCCTGTACCACAGCTCTCACCAGGCCCAGCTGACCACGGGCCTGGCTTCCGATTCCCTGTCCCACTGCCACTGCCCGCCTGCTTCAGGCCAGCCCCCAGGGATCTTTATGGAACCTTAGTGTCTTCTTCATCATCCTCTCTGTGTCACACAAATGGGGACAGCCTGGATATTCTGCTGACTTACCATTTTCCTCCTAGGATTCAAATCTTGGCTTCCCTGCTCACTGGCTGAGTGATCTCAGCAAATTGCTTAATGTCTCCAGAACCCAACTGCCAAATTTGCAAGATGGTGATACCAACCGCGCAAAACATATAAGCCTAGCCAACTCCTCACTCCTCACAGAAACCTCCCTGAACCCCTCGATAAGCTACACTGCCCCTCATGTGGGTACAGTGTGGTGCGAGGAGGTGTCTGGAGCCCGGGATTGTCTCTCCCAGACTGACCCCACCCACTCTGTCTCCCTGGGTTCTAGTAAAAGGCCTGAAAACACACTAAAAATAGCGCCCCTTTCCATGACCGCCCGTGTATTTTTGGACGTGTGTGAAATGCCACTGAAATTTCTTGGATCTGAAGGCTGAGGATGATTGTTGTTTCCCTGTGCTGATAGGTTTTATTCTTAACTATTTTCCTTCTCCCATCTAAAATAAATACTGCTTTATTCCATATTCCTGAAGTTCCCCAAAGGCTTACACTTTGGCTGGTTCTTCTTTGCTCCCACACGTCTCCTTGTGTCATCTGCTTTTTAGGTAAGAGCAGTTGTCAAATATATTCCCCAGAAAGGAAAGGATCGAATTGTGTTCTAGTCAGGGAACTTTTTTTAGGCTTTTCGTCTTTATTATGTTGGGATTGTGGGTTTGGAAGGGGAGAGAAAAAGGACAGGAGAATGGTATTGGGGAATGTTGAACAGCAATGTGAGAACTGCACTTTTAAAACACTGGGTCATCGGTAAGAGCTGTGCCATCCAATATGACAGTAACGGCCACATGCGGCTACTGAGCACTTTCAGGTGGCTCGTCCAAATTGAGACGTGCCCGAAGTGCAATATACACACTGGATCTCAAAGTCTTGGAACAAGAAAAAACATTTAAATATATCATTAATGATTTTTATGTTGATTACATGTTCAAATGATAATATTTTGTGAATAGTTATATTTATAATGCTTAATATATTGAATTAAATAAAATATTAAAGTTAATTTCACCCTTTTTTGCCTTAATTTTTCAAATGTGGCTAATAGAAAATTTAAAATTACATACGTGGCTCAACATTTTATTTCTGTCAGACAGCACTATTTTATTAGAGAGTGTGGGAGGGGGTGGGGCCATGCCATCTGCTATGCTCCCGGCCCCTTTATAGCCACTATCTGCAGGCCTTGTGGTTCCTGATCCACCGAATGTCCTGATCTAGCTTGATCCCTTTGGTGCCACAAGGGCAGCACTGAAGAGCGGAGCAGTAGTTTTTCAAATGGGTGCTGACTCTGAGATGAATGGACATGTACACAGGGCACACACACAAGTCTCTGCGCCCTGCTCCCTTCTCTGTGTACGTATCTCAATTTGTGGATGAAGAGATCACATAGTCTTGCATTTCAGAAAATGTTTTATGGATCTGAAGGACATTGCTGGGAAATTCTTGGTATAACCAGATTTCTTCACTAGCTCAGGCAAAAGTGCTGATTTTATCCCCTGGACACCTAGATTAGGATAGTTTCTTCTAATGCCGCTAGCAAGAACCTCAAAATTTGTAGACTACAAAATTACTGGGCTTCCAGAATGCATTTCACGCTTCTGCTGTGCCACCAAAACTGCAAGTCCATTTACCTGCATCCTCCCTTTGATGTCCTTCATTATTTAGACTCTGGGCTTTGCCTGATAGAAATCCATAAATATTGGGCTTTGATGTGAAGTGGCAAGCCAAAGGCTGGTACAACGTCTCAGGGCTTAGAATGTCACAGAAATCACTAAATGCCCTGGCCTGGATGCAAGGCCATTCATGCCCCGGCCCACCTCCCTTCCCGGCCTCATCTGTCTCCGCCTCAGCCCACTCCCACTTAGAGGTCTTGTACCAGCAAAGTGCTGTCTCCCACGACCCTGCCTTTGCTCATGGCGTTCCCTCTGCCTGAAACATGCCCCCCCCCCCCACACCCCCCCCCCCCCCCAGTCCCCAGTCTGTTTCGTCTGGGTAAATATCACTTGTGTAGAATCTAAAGCTAGTGGATAAGACATATAGACGGACAACTCCCATGTACATTGTCAAACTGTGTTATCAACAGACTTGCTACTTTACGTGTATTTATTGAAGGGTCTCGTGTCAAGCTTTTATTTCAAGAAGAGTGTAACTGGTATGACTTATCCATGATCCTGCAGCCTGTTCCTGGTAAAGCTGGGGTGAATCCTATGCCCTGCTACAGTGGATACATCAAAAATGGTCGGTTTGAGGCTGGTTCAAGCATTAATAAATAGTGGCAGTAATGGGGAAGGCAGGGGACTGTTCTAGACTGGGGGAGACTAAAGAGACATAACAGCCAAGTAACACTAAATTTAAAAAAAAGAGTCCATAAAGATACTGATAAAAATAAAAAGGAGAAAGAGGAAAAGGAAGAGCTCTTTTTTACAGATGATGACAGCTAATAAATGAGAAAGGAGAGAGAATTTAAAGATCTCCATTTTGTAACCCACAATGAACTAAATGATTCAGGGATGATTAGTGAATGGATGCTGCCACCACTGGTGAATGGCTGTTGAGGAGCAGGTGTTCTTAAAGATTTATCCTACGGCTTATTTATTAACTCTGAGGGGGCATGTGCCTTTACAGTGGGGAGATCGGAGTGCTACTGCTGAACCGAGGGCCAGGTTGAGCACGACCAACAGCGGGACAGTCTGACCTACATTCCTCTTGGTGCAATGAGTGGGAGGTACACATCATCACCCATGTGGGGGTCTTGATGAAAATGTTTAACTTCAGTTTAATCAACATGGAAGAGACACAGTGAGAAGTTCTGTGGGACAATTGTCCTGGACTCCTGAGAGGAGTCGTGTCATGAAGAAAAGAGGAGGCTCTGAGGTATTAGTTTCCTATCGCTGTGGTAACAACTACCACAAACTTGGTGGCTAAAAATACAAATTCATTACCTTACAATTGTGGAGGTCGGAAGTCTCAGTTCTGGAAGACTTCACAGTTCTGGAGGACTAAAATCCAGGTGTCCTCAGGACTGTGTTCCTGCTGGATGCTCTCAGAGAGAATCTATTCCTTACCTTTTCTAGCTTCTCAAGGCTGCTTGAAGTCCTTGACTCACCTTACTCTGATCTTTGCTTCCACAACACATCTTCATTGACTCACACTCTCCTGCCTCTCTCTTATCAGGACCCTTGTGATTACATTAGCCACTCCAGGATAATCCCCCAACTCAAGATCCTTAACTAAATCATAGCTGCAAAGTCCATTTAGCACGTAAGATAACATATTCACATGTTCTGTGCATTAGGATGTGGATTTCTTTGGGGGCCGTTATTCTGCTTACCACATTGCAGGAACTGTTCTTGAATGAGAGAGACCAAAAAGACCAAAGGCAATTCATGGAAATTGATTGCAGCCTGGATCAAGGCTGGGGGAAAACAGCTACAAAGGACCTTTTGGGGGCCTTTGGGGAATTTAAGTACGGACTTAAGACTGGATGGCATTGTGGAATTAGTGTTGATTTTCTAACAGATGTACTGCCACTGCCGATATGGTTGGTTGGAGAATGTTCTTGTTTTGCGGAGATGAGGGCTGAAGTAGGTTTCAAGTTTTGTGATGTCTGCCCCCTATTTTTGGATGGTTTGACAGAGGGGAAGTGTGTGCATGTGCATATTCAGAGAGGGGGAAGGGTGAAGTGGATGTGAAGAGGCATTAATGGTCATTGAATCTAGATGTTCATAGTATGGTTCTTTTTGGTAGATTTGAAATTCTTAAAAATGAGGGAAGAAAACCCAATAGTAATAAGTGGTAAATTGGGGCTCAGTTTCCGTGGCCCCTCCTATCTCCCAGACTTCCCAAGGAGGAGTCCCTGAGATGGCAGCCTTTATATTTTCCATGAGCACATAGAACTGGATTGAGAATCTACCCTGAGTCCCCCAGACACGCACACTTCTTCCTTCAAACTCTTTTTCCAGAACTGAACTTGCTCATTT